TCCTCCTTTTTTTCCCCAAAGCCCCAGTAGATAGTTGTATGTCATAGCTGCACATCTTTCTAGTTGCTGTATGTGGGTCGCAGCCTCAGCATGGCCGGAGAAGCGGTGCGTCGGTGCGTGCCCGGGATCCGAACCTGGGCCGCCAGTAGCAGAGCGTGCGCACCTAACCGCTAAGCCACTGGGCTGGCCCTCTACTTTCTTTTTACATGGGCATGTTTTAAGTTATTCACTCAAGGGAGAAACAGGTAAAAGGAATGAGATTTAGTTTTTCCCCTTTAACAAAATTTTTAACAATGTTAATGTTGAAATTTAGAAGCATGTACCTGTAATACAGAAAAAATCCTTCTTCCCTATTTTCAAAAAAAAAATTATGATGTTCAAATGAAAAACCTATGGGTTTTATTTTACAGAAGGTGGAGGAAAGTTATACCGTTCTTCGCCAAAGGCTGGCTGGATCAGCTCTCACAGATAAGCACTCAGGTATGTGAAAATTGTGGATTCCAGACTCTAGAATCATCCTGCCTGAACAGTACGTTGAATGAAATGATTTATTATTCTTTAAAGTGGAAACCTTCTGAGATTCCATTTCTTTTCTGTCTTTAAAACCCTGCTGGTTTCCAAACATCATATATCAAGCAGAGGCTGTGGTCTGCTGACTCAGCTCTTCCTTTTCTAAGAGGAACTGCTGTTGTCAGTTCCCATGCCCGCCCCCTTCTCTGTCTTTCTTCCCCTTTGCAAAAGCAGAAAGGCAGAGCAGTGGTCAGCCTGCTAAATCCTAGATTCTGTAGGACATTTGCCAGTGCTATGTGACTCCCTAGTGGTGGAGGCTTGGTCCTCCTCAGGTCTTGCTGTACTTTTGTATCTCTCCTGACAGTGAGAGCAGTGTCCTCCGACTACAAATGGATCTGTGTTCAGCGCAGCGATTTGTACTCATTTGCTTACATGCTTTGGGATGAGGCTGTTCTGATCCAGAACAAAGATATAACCATGCCCACAGATTTCATAGGTATTCTCTAAGTGTTAATTTGTTCTTTTTTCTTAATTTGATCTCCACATATCTTATTCTTCCCAGATAAAAGTTAGAGCCGCGTGTCCTGGAGGTGACTGAAGGTTGTTGGATTTTGAGCATCGGCCTTGTATCACCACGTCTTGGCTCCAGTGTGGACACAGAGAGTGTGTGTGACAGAGGATCTGCCTGTGAACCCCCTGGGGTTCGCCATTCCCAGGGTGCCCAGAGCAAGACTAGTTCTTCACAGTCTGGCAGCTGCACTAGTCTGTCAGTGAGGGAATAGCCATTCTCTCACTCTGCTCTCCTCACTATCAGAAATTCATTTTGATTCAGAACAAAAACCAAATGTATAGAGCTTTGGGTGTAGGATATGAAATTTTACTTAGACTTAAGAAAAAAGAAAATCAGATGTATTTATTTGACTTCATTCCGTATTTGAAAGCACATTTTAATTTTTATTTTGCCATGTTTTGTTTTAATTGAGTAGTGAGATTTTTAGCCCTTTGTATTTAGTACACCCAAGGATCAATTGCTCCTGAAGCAAAGAGTTCAGGATGGGGTATGAGGAGGTTGGATAGAGAGGTGAAGAAGAGGAGGAAGTAAGGAGGAGGAGGGAGGAGCATCTAGCCTTCACTAAACTGTGTTACATGCCCTCTGCTGTCCAGTGGGCTGCTTCCCTGAGGGTCATCTCAATGGCGGAGTATGCCGGTGGCTCCTATGTGCAGAGGACTGAGCTGTGTGCTACCCAGGTGGGCAGAGAGTTGGTGGGCTTCCTCCAGCCTGAGGCAAGCACCTCTTCTCTGTAGCTGGGATCCACCCCCAATTAACAGGAATCCTCAATGTACTAAATAGCAGGCACTTGAAAATGGGCGTGTTTTCTTGTCTTCTTTTCTATTGAGGGTTGGGATTTGGGAGGGAGAGGAAAGCAAATTTTATTTTCTTGACTATAAATTTGTTATTCTTGGTATTGTTTCATTTTTATAATTATACATTAGACTTCGGCACTTGTGTAAAATTATCCCTGCAGATTAAGCAGGAAGTGAAAACAAACAAGTGGAGATGCTTCAGATGGTGGTAGGGGTGGGGGTTGCTGAGGAAGGGTGGGATGGGAGTGGGTGAAAGAGTTCAGGAAGGTTATCTAACTGAATCACTACTGAGTTGAACAATGGCTGTCATTAGCCACGGGTACTGCTGATTATAAGGCCAGTAAAATTTTAGTACCTGGAGGTTTGACTCTAATTTTTGCACTGATGGTGCCAAAGGGCTCTTTGAGTTAAACGGAGAGCCAAGAGTGGAGTGAAGTGGTGGGGAAGGCAGAGCTGCTCAAACCAGCTCCAGAGCACTTCCTCTGACTTCACTGCTGGAGCTTTCTCCACACTGGTGGTGACTGACCTGAAAAATTGCAGACCAGAACATACACTGGACACTGCAGGCAAGCTGTTGGTAACTGCGTGCTCTAGAATGAATAGTAGTATTGGCAGCACCCAACAGAGGATAAATGGTTTGGAATTGTAACTTGAGAACATCTTCAGTTATATTGGCTTTCTGTGGTTTTCTTTGTGCATCAGGTCTATATGTTTTGGAGTATTTTTGCCAACTAAAACTAAATCATTTGTCAAACTTAAAATTCTGTTAATATGCAGAGAGTTCATCCACTGCTCAGATCTTTTAGTAGTGCCCTCTGAACTCTGTGGGGAGTCAGGATGTAGTTTTATTCTTCCCTGCAGTCCATTATATATTTATATAATTTTTTCTTTCCCCCTCATCACAAGTGGTAAGGATTCCCAACTACTTTTATAAACACCACTACAACTTAACAAGCTTATTTATGTCCCGATTCCTGTTTCTGTCTTTTCAAAACTGATCTATTTTTAAGTAGACCAACTTACATCATTGGACCTCATCTATAAATTAGAATTATATTTTGAGTTGTAGACCAAGTGTAAATTAAATCAGAATGGGATTAAAAATTTTAGAAGCAGAAGTTAATATATAAGTGAAGCTTAGAACTTGAACTTCCTGTATCTGTTAAGAGAAACAAGTAGAAACCAAATGGTTACATTGTGCTGCTGGAAATAATGTAGTCATTCCCAAGTAGAAGGGTTACACCTGTGGCCACTTGACACTAATACCATCAGCGGGCAATTAGGAGAAAGGTAAATATAAATAGAACTTTCATCTTAACTGCAGACAGTACAGGGTAATTACAGAATTCTCTAGCACTCATTTGAGAAGCTTTGTAGGTTAGAAATGTTTTGGTTTCTCTTTTAGCTCAGCCAATATCTTGTCCTTAGCGACTATTTGCTTTTCTTTTCCTGCAGTTTAACCTCTCCTTGGAACAAAAGCAGGCTAACTGGAAAAATACTTTGACCATAGCTCTAGTACTTCCAAATAAATTCATATCTAGGTTTTCAAACGAAGTCTAATTCTGAAAAGATCCCACCATTTTGACTGTTCTTTTTATCTTACCAGCCTAAATTTTTCCCTCCCTCCCAGCCAGGCTTCCCAACACCTTCTGTTTTATTTTGACCATTGTAATCACATCCATTTTACTTTGATACTATATCTGCCTTTCAGGATGATGGAATTAGATCCTGTCTTTGAGTGAGACTAGTTATCATCAAAGCTGTTTTCTCCAAGTTATGTGACTAGAAGTTGGAATCTACTTCCATGTGGAAGGATCCAAGGGTGGTGGACAAAGCAACCTTCCCAGAGCAGGAGAGCTGGGGTTTATCTATTGAAGTGACCTGCCGTGACCCTGTGCTCTCTCCTGTTGGTGGGCCTAATGGCTCCTTTGCTATTAAGTGCCAAATTACATTTGGAGTGTCTCTTTCCTTTTCGGAGAACCAAGTTAATCAAGGCAAATCAGCAGGCCCCCAAAGTGCTATAATTTAAAATCACAATTACTGCCCTAGAAGCCATATATTTTGCATATATTAAAACCAGCTAACTTAGACTGTTTATCTTGGCTAAACTGTAACTATTTATTGTATTATACTGCACAGAAGGTCTATTTCTTAAGCTTTTTGGCTTTCTTTTTCCTAAAACAACTTCTAACATAACTGTTAGAAAGTATGACTCCCTTTAAAAAAGTTTATTTGTTTTTGGAGGGGGGGGAGCTAACGTGATAGGAGAGGATAAAAGTCCATTTTTTCTTATTTTTAGAGGCTGAAGTAAATGATTATGCTTCCTGTAAGTTGTCTTTTACTTGAATACTTTTCTTTTTTTTGATGTTGGTAAATTCGTTGTATTACGTGGAGCTACCCTGTTTCAAACTGGCTGCTGTCTTCTCTGAAGGTGGTGTAGGTTGTTATTTTGAGCTACTAGAGCTTTGGTCAGTATTTCCTCCCCTATATGTCACAGAGGGCACCCTTGAGAACTGTGTACAGAGGACCTCAAAGTAGAAAATTAGCAGGACCTTCTAGTCATCTTTGTGCTGGCAAATTGTTTTCCCCCTAGAATTGTAACTTTTGTTTTGTAAATTATGCTTTTTCTGACTTTTCTACCCCTTTTCAAAGTGATCTGCAAAATTGATCTTTCCTCCCTGAAAAAAAGAGTCGCTTTTGCCTCATTCCTTATGCCTTCCCTACTGGTACTGATGGTTTTGATAATAAATTGGTAGAAAAAAATGTACCTCCTAGAAGGAAGCCCTGTCCGCCATTTCCAGGTGCCGACAGCTAAGCAGATGTACTGCAAAAATGATAACTGTAAAGTGCACACTGGGGGTTATTTTTAATAAACCTCTTCCTACTAGAACATTTTATTTTCCTTGTTCACCATACAATCATGTACTCTTTAACAGAAATTTCTTTTAAAAAAATCTGGAACTATCTAAAAAATCTTTATTAATAATCATGTATTTTTACTGATCACATTTTGAAAAGCCTAAAAGACTTTATTGTTTTAATTATCCAGATGTACCTTTGTAAAATAGCTCTTTTATGAATTAGCTGATAAGGCTGTATGTTTCTGGAACAAAATATTGGTCATCTAAAAACTTTCTGTTTTCTGGGGTCTGGGAAAATAGAAAATGAGACTTCAAATATTAAATATGCTTAAAGGAACCAAGTATCTGACTTTTTATTTGTATTTTGTTTATTTGTCTTATACAAGTTATATTAGAAAAGTTTAGGTGCCTGGGAGGCCTTAATCTTATTGGCAGTGACTGTCAAACATCTTCCTGCTTATGAGAGCATCTTTCCTAGTGAGACTAGCCAGTTGATCTCCGTAATGTATAAACTTCCGTGAGGACACTAGCAGCTGGATTGCCCCAGCATCTGGGGCAGCTTTGTGGTGGTTTTTTAACAGCTTTATTGAGATGTAATTCACATATCACACAATTCACTCATTTAAAGTGTATGACTCAATGATTTTTGGTATATTATTTTTTAAATTGTAAAATATATATAACAAAATTTGTCATTATAACCATTTTTAAGTGTACAATTGAGTGGGATTAATGGGGCAGCTTTTGGGGCTCACTTGAAGGTAACTTCTTTGGTTTAATGCTCCCTGAATGAAAAGATGGTGTCTTTATTACCATTCTTATCCCCAATGCTGGACTTCTCGAGTACCATCATTTCAACTCAGAAGGCTCGCTGAGTTTTGGGCTTTTTTGCATGTTTGTTTTGACATAGAGGTGTAATTTGATTTATTCTTAGGACGATATTTTAGTTTTTAGTTATTTGGAGGCACATATGGCTGATCTAATAAGCATAACAAAAAATGCTTAGTATTTTGTAGGATTTTTTTGTTAAACCTTTTAAAAATTAAGGATAATCAAATGTACTTTGCAGAAATTAACCTGTTTGTACTCTTAGCTCTGTTTATAAACTGGTAGAACAAATAAATACCCATACCATTCCCACTTGCTCCTAGATGGCCATCTTCTAATAGGAATGGAGAAAGTAAAACTCTGTCTCTGCATGTGAGCAGTTACTTCCACTTTTTGCTGTTTTATTTCAAGCCAAATGACTGGTTCCATTTAATACCAAAAGTTTAATACCGACTTGAAAGATAAGAGAATCTACTCTGATGAAAAAGTTGCTTTTCACTTGAACTTGTTATCTTCTTGCTATGATGAATGTCATAAAACATCGCAGATAAATAGCTGGATGTAGGTGTTTCCCATTTTTTCTGTAATGTCAAGCCTAATTCTTGTTACTAATTGAAAACACTTCCTGGAGTTTAGCTGTCAGGGAATATGTTTGTTTTGCCACCTGTTATTACTAGTGAGACATTGTCACTCCCTGAGCGTTGGCCGAGGCCTTGGTTTGAACGCATTTAAGGTGGGTAGTGCTCTCTTTCTAGTCTAGTCTAGTCTTTTCCCCTCATTTGATTCAGGGGCTTTGTGGGCCTACCTATAATTGAAGTCTTCCTTTATAGCACTTTATTTCAGGGACTCCCTTTCTTTGTCCATGTGACCACAGGGTTGGGCCCTGAACCCATTGTGATCAATAACAGTAATTAGGGTACATCTTGGTAATCTTTTTTAAGTTTTTGGAGAAGTATCTGTACAGAGAATTTTTTTTCTACTGTCTATTATTTTAAGTATTAAAGGCAGGTAGCGTGATACAGTGTAGTAGTTCTCAATCTTTGATCTCAGTACTGCTTTATACTCTTAAAAATTATTAAGGACCTTATGGAGGAGCTTATGTTCACATGGATTGTATCTACTGATATTTACTTTATTAGAAATAATTAAAATGAGAAAATTAAAAACATTAATTCATTTAAAAATAATGGTAAATCCATTACGCGTTTTTATGAAAAGTTACTATATTTTACACAATAAAACTATTGAAAAGAGTGTTTTATAGGTTTTCTAATGTCTGGCATAATAGAAGAAAACTGGATTCTCGTGTCTACTTCTGTGTGCAATCTGGTGTGATAACGTTGTTTTGGTTGACGTATATGAAGAAAATCCATCCTTACACAGACATATTTTTAAAAGGGGAAAATATTTTAATAGCCTTTTCAGATGATTGTGGATATTCCTCTGATACTACACTGAAACTTGACAAGTAGTAGTTTGCTAAAAGATAGCAATGTGGAATCTGAAGCCATATCAATGAAATTTTTATACTTTGTTACACTAAAATCCATCAATCCAGTTTATACTTTAAATATGTGAAAAATCAAATATTCTACCCATGCATGATTTTGTAATGTCCTGTATTTGGAAAATATTGCTTTACTGAATTATGCAAATCTTCAAATATTGGCACATTTCTTTATATAATATAAAAAATCACATTCATTAATATCAACAACTCATCAGAAAAGTCTCATGGTGGGGGATACAACTTTCAAAAACTTCTAATTTTTGCTTGAAAGCTCAAATTTTATTATTGGCAACAGATACAGTTGTTTCCCTTCAAATGATAGGCTCACTTTTTTCATTTTTGAGAAAATATCTGCCAGATACTCAAGTATGAATAGCCATTGGTTACCAGTCTTTCGAGATCAAATGGTCTACTGTTTGAAAGAAAAAGTGGCTGGTTTAGCCCTCAGCCCAGACCATTGCGTGAGCGCTTGTCCTGCAGACACGGCCCCGCAGCTCTGGTGGGGCAGAGCTGCTGCGTGCATACTGCCCATTTCCTCACAGGATAGTAAAGAGATGTGAACTCACGAGTTGAGGTTGAATAAAATTATTAATTTTTACTGCTCCACCAAGGGCATTGTGAAGTGAAGCTGGCAGTGTCTGTACTGCGACTGAGTGGCAGTGAAGAACGCAGTGACTGGGTGAGATTGGGTGTCCCTGCCTCCATTCAGGCCGGGCTGCCAGCAGCCCCACCTCCATTGCTTTTGCGCCATCAGTGCAGGTGTTAACATGGGGAAAAGGCAAATGATGTCTGAATAGTTTTACGAGAATAGTTGTGACTCTCTAGGTCCCCGGGAAGAGTGTTGGAGACCACACCTGGAGAACTGTTGTGTAGTGGAAAGAGCCTGAACCTGGACGGTCTGGATTCAGTTCCAGCTCTTCACGTGCTGTGTTGCCTTGAGCAGGTTACCCTCTCCGTTTCCATTTTCTCATCTGTAAGTTGGGGTAAATAATACTTCACCTAGCAGAATTGTGAGGAGTAAAGAGAAATTACCCAAAGTGTGATTGTTGTCTCGCCAAAGTTGTTTTCTTTTTTTCATTCTAGGATCTGAGTATTTAAAGCAGGAAAGGCGAAAAATGATTAATGAATGTAGAATGTGTAAATCTCTGTTACTAATATAGCCATATTTCATGTCTTACAATGGTTTTGTGTGTCTAAACCCTATGCCCTTAGTTATGTGTGTGTGTGGTGTGTGTTCATTTTTTAAAAATTTGTTGACTCCTATAATAATATACTTGTTTAACCAAACTGTTCTCTTAAATGTAAAAAAAAAAAAG